TTAAATTTTAGGTACTAAACAGACAAATGCCTCGCAACAAGATACTTCTAAAAGGTATGAGAACTTGACAACTGCATTTACTTAGCTGTTTATCTCATATTAATTGAACCAATTTTAGAAACAATGTGTGCTCCCATTAGAAAAAATCATTAAAAGAGAAAGATCTGGGAAGCACTGTAAATTCTCATGTAGACTGTTACATCCCCCTACTCCATACTTTAAGAGAACCAAATTAGATGCATTTAGTTTGCTGGTGAACGTATGAGTATCTGTAGAAAGTGTCTATGTGAATAAACATTCCTAACCAGGTACTCTTTTTCCACCTCTTTGGATACTTTCCTTTTTTCATTTTAATATGCCAGAGACTCCAAGAAACCTTTTCTGTTCTGTGCTTACATCATGTCCATATTTTCAACAAAAAGTTGTCTTGTACTGTCTCTTGGCTTCTCTTAAAAAGTCAAGATTTATCTTCTGTCACAAGTTTTCTAGACTAGGAGTAATATGATTGAAAAATACAATATCTAAGATATATCATTTTATGAAATATTGGCTTTGGCCTTAATTCTTTCAAAAATTATTTACTGGTATAAGATATGCCAGTCCTATGTTAGGCCCTGAGAATATGGTTTTGAACAGAATAGTCACAATTCTTGTCTAGTGAAACAGAGAAATACCAATTAAATAATTATAAATAAATACATAATTACATATTGTGATAAATGCTATAAAGAAGGAAGAACGAATAACAGGAGGCCAATTTAGCTGGAGATTGGCAGGGCGGGTGGTGGGTTTGCAGGGAAAGGCTTCTCTGAAAGTATTAAGCCATGGCCTGAGGGCTAAGTAGGCATTAACCAAAGTAGTAGGGAGAGACCTGTAGCCAGAGGGGGCAGTATGTGTGAAAAGGAAAGTCTTGGTCATTTGAAGAAAGGAGAGATACCAAGGGTGATGTGCAGCATTCTGAGCAGGGGAAGAAAGGAGCATTGGAAAAGGTTAGAAAGACAGGATTCCATTCATACAGTACCTGGTAGGCTATGGTGAGAAATTTAGATTTTCTAAGTGCAAATGGGAAAACTTTAATAAAGTGGTGGAATTTAAGTGTAAAAATTTTAAGATGTTAGGGATGGTGATCATCTGAGAATGGAGAAATTGGATAAATTTGAGATCTGTTTTGGAGAGTACAGGTATACCTCAGAGATATTGACAGGTTCAGCTCCAGATTACTGCAATAAAGCGAGTTGTAATCTTTTTGCTGGTAGAGGGCCTTGCCTTCAATTTGTAAAAGATGCAACGTCTCTCAAGTGCAATAAAGTACAGTACAGTAAAACAAGGTATGCCTGTTATTTCCCTGTGGAACATGATTATACTGACTTGGCTTTAGGAAATACTGAAGAGTAAAGTTTAGTTAATATTGATAATGATGGTAATTTGCAACTCTCTTCAACACTGATCTGACCACAAACCTGAGGAGATTATATTTTATTCTCAGCACTACAATTTGTGGAAAATAATAAGCTGAAATGGATTTTGAGCAGTTCAGCCAAGATGATCAAACAATTAAAAATCTATAGGATTAAACAAAAAGTTGTTGAGGGAAGTGGTCCTTTGTAAATTTATTCCAACTGTAGAATACTTCTATATTCAATCCTAGTGAATACTTTTAAGCCAGAAATTAAAGAACTTTACAAAATTATAAAACAATTTCACTTCACACTAACTTTTTCATTTAAAAATATGTTAACGTGTACTGGGTATATTATTAAATGCTTTAAAATTTTCTCATTTTTAATCCTAATATGGTAAATGTTGGCAGATATAATGTACATAAGCAAAAATTCTAAGAGTACAAAGGAGTGCTGAGACCAAAAAGTGTGAGGACCACTGCTGTACACCACACTACCTATCATTATTTCAGATAGGGCAGCTGTGAAACAAGGCTATCCATGGGAAGCAGCTGTAGATATCCATTAGTTAAGAACAGTATGGCTGTTATGGCAGACTTAAATAGTTAATGTTTAAATCAGCAATTCCTAATGCAAGTTTTGTGCTGACCTTAGTACATGGCATAGCTTTTACTGGTAGGCAGCAAAATGAGAAAAGTAAAATATTTTTCATAAAGCTAAATATAGTCATTTTAAAGAACAGCCTTTTCATTTGTGTTCATGTTTTACACTTCTTTGATGTAAGCATGGCCTTTATGAAATGATGGGGGAGAACAGGTGTTTCCACTTTTTTTTTTACACATTACAATATGTGTTGAATTTATTGGATGAAGTCTTATGTCCCTGTTCTTTTTAAAAATTTACTTATTTATTTTAGTTTCAAGTATACAGTACATTGGTTAGACATCTATATAGTTCATAAAACGATTCCCCCAGTTGCTCCCTGCCTCCCCTGGCCCTCCACCTAGCCATCATATTAATGCTAACTGCGTTCCCTCTGCTGTGCTCCTCATCCCCGTGATCAACTATCAACTACTAATTTGTACTTCTTTAACCCTTCACTCCATTCTCCCAGACCCCAATCCCCCTCCCCTCTGTCCATCACCAAATTGTCCACTATATTTGTGAGTCTGTTTTTTGATTAGGTTGTTCTTTTTGTTCCTTAGATTCTGCATACAAATGAAATCGTATGGTATTTATCTTTCTCTATCTCACTTATTTCACTCGGTGTAATAATCTCTAGGTCCATCCATGTCGTTGCAAATGGTAGGATTTCATGTTTTTCAACAGCTGAGTAATATTCCATTGTATATATGAACCATAATTTCTTTATCCAGTTGTCTGTTGTTGGGCATTTAGGTTGCGTCCATATCTCGGCTATTGTAAATTGTGCTTCCATGAATATTGGAGTGCATAGAGCTTTCCGAATTATTGTTTTGGTTTTCTTTGAATAAATATCCAGAAGTGCAATTGCTGGGTCAAAAAGTATATCCATTTTCAATGTTTTGAGAAACCTCCATACTGTTTTCCATAGTGGCTATACCAATTT